TTTAATTAAATTCAGTAATACGAAGACGAAAGGAAAGTACAATCGTCATCTTTGTTTTACAACTTGAGAAAAAAAAAAATAGAAAAAAAAAGTGACGTTTCTTCCCCTTTCCCGCCATTAGCTGTCAGAGGCGCGTTCGAACGGTTTATTTCACTTGAGTGACATGCAAATACTTGATAATTATTACCTTACTTTTTTTACTGAGTATTTAGATTAGTTATTTAAGGATTAAAATTGAATCGTATAAGTATTGGTATAGTTATTCGACGACTGCTTGCTTGTAAAATGTTTGTTTAAGGAATTTATATTTATTTTTGTATGTTTTTATTTTTTATTGCTTAGATGGGTGGACGAGCTCACAGCCCACCTGATGTTAAGTGGTTACTGGAGCCCATAGACATCTACAATGTAAATGCGCCACCCACCTACAGATATAAGTTCTAAGGTCTCAAGTATAGTTAGAACGGCTGCCCTACCGTATGTATGTATGTGGATACATTATACAAAGGGTATTTCGGTTTTCAGAGCTGAACCTATGAGTGCTCCTTGATGGAAACTCGGCGATTTACTAGACAACCCATAATTCTAATACCAGACAATCGTTCTTATGCAAAGTATATGTGAATCAACTATATAATAAAGTTATATCAAAATTCAAACTCGCGTAGTTTATCTATTTTTATTTTTTATGTTTGAGGGATTACTACTGGTGGCCCGGAGGCCTTTCCAGTTTCACCAGGACAGGTGGGTGAGCAAGGACTCGGCCAGGAGTGGTGGGATTTGCTGACAGTTGCCCGAGCGCCTCCAAAGGAGACCTAACGACTCAAGAGTAACTGCTTCGCGAATTACTAACTGTAGGGCGCTTTTGAGCTGCGTATTTCTGCCGTGAGACAGTAATGCTTTCCCGTTTTGAAGAGCGAGGAGACCAATTAAGAACCGAGAACTTCTTTCAAGTTGGGTGGTGGCATTTATGTAGTTGATATCTGTGGGTTCTCGTCACCACTTAAGACCACGTATTACTGGTGGTAGGACCTCTTGTGAGTCCGCACGGGTAGGTACAACCGCCCTGTTTATTTCTGCCGTGAAGCAGTAATAATGCGTTTCGGTTTGAAAAGTGGGGCAGCCGTTGTAACTATACTGAGACCTTAGAACCTATTTCTCAAGGTGAGTGGTGGCATTTACGTTGTAAATTTCTATGGGCTCCAGTAACCACTTAACACCAGGTGGGCTGTGAGCTCGTCCACACATCTAAACAATAAGAAAAAAACAAAATGTGTGCAATTCACACGTGGTAGAAGTGAAACCTTCCAAAATTAAAATACAATTATCCTAAACGTCTTAAGTATATGTAAAATTTTGTCATTAGTAAATAATTGTAAGGTAGCGCCCTCTGTGAATTGATATTTTAATTTCACATATAATCCTAATTTAAAATTCACTACAAGAGCTTTCATACACACGTTAGTATTAAAAAATCTCACAGATGGCGCTGTATTAAATAGTATGTATATTTCTTCTGTCTCATTCTTTGCTGGCTTCATCCTACACATTTTTGTATTTGTGTCTCTTACCTGTCGTTTTTTCCGTTGCATCCGGTTTGAAATCACAACGATTCTAAAGAAGTTTTCACTTCAAAAAGAAACCTAACCATCGAATAACAAAAAAAAACCGCTATGTACCTTTACAATTTTCAATTGTAAAGCCATTATAAAGACAGTCAAGTCATAGCCGACTATCCGCTTACCTTCAAGTAACTAGCAGCAAAGCAAGCGAAGCACAAGCAATGAAACTCTTAAAAAATGTTGACTAATTAAAAAAAGGAGCCCCTTCCGTTGAAACGCCACCCCGATGTGAAAGAATTCGGTTTTTTTTTTAATTTTATTAACTCGAATTAATTCGTTTTAGGGTGGGACTGTGTAAATAAAAATAAGCCATTGTGTTTCCTTTTTAAGTTGACGACAATGTGTTTACCTGTACATAATAATATGTAGTATGTAATTGAGGCATAGACCTCGAGTCTCAAGGCATCACGCTGTGATGTCCGTGGACTCCGGCAGCCGATGAACATCAAGTGGTCCGTAAGTTAATCTAGGTAGTAATAAAATTGAGTATGAGTGACTTTGTCTGTCTGTCACTTGGATATGTCTTTCGTCATACAAGCTTTGATGCATTGTTAATGTCCACGGGCGACCACGTCCGTGTGCTGTTCCATCTTAGCAACAAAATATCTAATTTACAATCTACAACGAATTCTTATTGCATCTATTTTGAACAGCTAAGCCACCGATTTTTTCATGATAACTACTTTGCCTAGAAATTTCTGTCTAGATATTTCAAGAAGAATACAGAAAATAAACTATCAGCATCAATCTTGACTTTCGGTTTCAGGATAGCAGATATCTAATATAATTTCAACATCTACAGTTACTGATGGTAGGGCCTCTTGTGAGTCCGCGCGGGTACCACCACCCTACCTATTTCTGCCGTGAAGCAGTAATGCGTTTCGGTTTGAAGGGTTGGGCAGCCGTTGTAACTATACTTGAGACCTTAGAACTTATATCTCAAGGTGGGTGGCGCATTTACGTTGTAGATGTTTATGGGCTCCAGTAACCACTTAGCACCAGGTGGGCTCGTCCACACATCTAAGCAATAAATAAAAATCTAGCATGCCTCAAGATAAGCCAATTCTTAATTAATTCTATTCGGGTCGTTAGCCAATTTGTTCGCCACAACTTAAAATACAATGTAAGCTTATCTATATATTAATACGTGAAGCAAAAACTTTGTATCCCTTTTTACGAAAATTGCGCGGACGGAGGAGTATGAAATTTTCCACACTTATAGAGAATATAGAGAAGAAGTGCACAATGCTAATATTTTTTTAAAATAATGCATAAAAGATACATTAAATCAATAAAGAAAACATTACACACACTACATACCATGTATTNCGAAAATTGCGCGGACGGAGGAGTATGAAATTTTCCACACTTATAGAGAATATAGAGAAGAAGTGCACAATGCTAATATTTTTTTAAAATAATGCATAAAAGATACATTAAATCAATAAAGAAAACATTACACACACTACATACCATGTATTTGACGCACACACGCATGCATACTATTTATTGTCAAACTTTTGTTCTTGACGTCTGGTCAAATTGAGAATAGATTAAATATTGTTTGTCTTTATTAATATTTTTCTATAGTATTGTAGTCTTGGCGTTGAAAATACAATCATAATAGTGTACAAACTTACAATTCCAATTAATTATAGTCGAATTTCGACTACTGCGGGACCTCTAGTATCAATAAATATAAATGACACGTCCATGAAATTCGGATTAAAAAAAATATATCTATATAAAATGTATAATTTTCATCTTTACGGTTACTATAGGTATGAAAATCTAAAATTTTCGTTTAGTTCGCTTGTAATAATGAATTGCAAATAATAGAATCGAAAATGAATGAAATAGAAGAAACAACAAAAGATGGAACCTATGAAAGATGGCCTCTTGCAGTGGACTTACTATTGGAGATATGACTCAAGGGAGTGAGGTCAGGGTTGATGCTGTGCCGACCTCACGCAGTGTGAGATAAGTGTAAGGAGGAGATAAATAAGAGATATATCGTCTTTTCGCATTAAAAGTGTACAATTTCCAAAAATATTCGAACTTGAGTTAATATGCGGAGTCATTTGGTATCATCAGTATTTTTTTCATAAATACTGTCAAAAGAGCGTAGTTTAGTTTTAGTTTTTTCTTTTTTAGTTTTCCTATATTTTGTCTACTATTAACAAAATATGTATTAATTCTGTTTTATCTTACTTTAAAAGACAGATAATGTAGGTAATTGGTAAAAAATATAAAATAAATGTTGCAAAGATTATATTAATATTAAAAATATCACATGTTAAACCTTTAAAACACTCTCCTGTAAAATTAGTAAGTTTTGAGATTATACAGTTTTAATGCGAGAAGACGATACCAGATACGAAAATACAAAAACAAGAAAAAAAGGATTAAATATGAACATATTTTTCATAAATATTTTCCGAATGTGTACACGATTTTTCTTGTAACATTTTGACCAAGACATATTTATTTAAACATTAACACGTATATAGATTTTTCTTTTGTGTTTGATGTATGTGTTATCTTTAATTGGGATTAACATAAGTACATATCTATATATTAATACGTGAAGCAAAAACTTTGTATCCCTTTTTACGAAAATTGCGCGGACGGAGGAGTATGAAATTTCCCACACTTATAGAGAATACAGAGAAGCAGAATGCTAATATTTTTTTTAATTATGCAAAATAAAATACATTAAATCAATAATAAAAAAAAATATTACACACACTACCACGTATTTGACAAACACACGCATGCATACTATTTATTGTCAAACTTTTGTTCTTGAAGTCTGTTGTCAAATTGAGAATAGATTAAATATTGTTTGTCTTTATTAATATTTTTTTATAGTGTAGTCTTGGCGAAATTTGTGATTATAGAATTATAAAATACAATCAACAGTGTACAAACTTACAATTCCAATTAATTATAGTCGAATTTCGACTACTGTGGGACCACTAGTACATTTAAATACTCGTTTGAAAATCAAACGTATTGTCTAGATCTATTAAGGAAAACCTAAATTAATACATTTTAGAATTATCAAACAAAAAAAAAATACACACACTTATATGTTTCAATATATTAAAAAAAAAAATGTACAGACATCTCTCAATTAAGCTCGTCATGAACTCCGAAGACAGTTCCACAATCGTCATTAGGCATTCGACAAACACGAGAACATTACAATAACAACGAATGTAAAATCAAAGGTAGGGCCGCATAAATAGGATGAGGTGGAAAAAGGAAAAAAAAACGCGTATTACGACCACGCTCCGCCCAATTGTGGGCAGGCGCGACCACGCCTGGTACAGTGGAGGGGCTCAGCCCGCAATTCGCCAGTCTGACTTCGAGATCACGCGCACAACATCCCTTTCAAACAAAACAATTGTTTAATAAAAACAATTAACGCATTCGATAGTCGATAAATAAGTTAATAGTTTTGTTTCTCGTCTAATCTAGGCGACCGTTTTTGTGATAAGCGCGGTGTGTGTGTGTGTAAAGAATTGCATTGAAAAGTTCAAAGTGCTTTTTGTTGAGGATACGGTTGCACGATGAAGTTCAAATGATAAGGTAAATAATAGTAAGTGTTTCTATTGAACTTAATTATAACACGTTTTATGCATATTTTATTCTTAGAAGCGTGCCACAGTCGGATTTTTGTTCGCGCGAATTTTTCACGTAATCCTTCGTTACGGCTTTAAAAACTTTAAAAACAAACATATTACGATTTAAATCGACTTCAGGGGGGTCACGGCGCGATACGAATTTACCATTTTTATTTATTAAAAAATATATTTTTGTAGCTACAAAAACATAAAAAAAACCATTTTAATTCAATAAAAAAAAAATCGATGGCTAGTCATTTTGTTTTAAGCATTAATTTTGATTTAAACATATTTTAATGGTCATTTTGACGCAGGATCTCTTTTTAGTGTGTTTCCAGTTTGTAATTTTAAAAATACTAGAGGTCCCGCAGTAGTCGAAATTCGACTATAATTAATTGGAATTGTAAGTTTGTACACTATTATGATTGTATTTTATACTTCTATAGTCACAAATAAAATATTAACAAAGACAAACAATATTTATTCTCAATTTGACAACAGACGTCAAGAACAAAAGTTTGACAATAAATAGTATGCATGCGTGTGTGCGTCAAATACATGGTATGTAGTGTGTGTAATGTTTTTTTTATTGATTTAATGTATCTTTTATGCATTATTTTAAAAAAATATTATCATTGTGCACTTCTTCTCTATATTCTCTATAAGTGTGGAAAATTTCATACTCCTCCGTCCGCGCAATTTTCGTAAAAAGGGATACAAAGTTTTTGCTTCACGTATTAATATATAGATTTAAGACGCCCAAATCATGTATGTAGGTTAATAACTAAAAATAAAAAAGATACTAGCCTAAACAACAAACAGAATTAACAATAAATTTTATCTGCTTTTTATCCTGTTAATTAACTGTCAGGATATTAGAGCGAAGTTATAATGTTATTGTATCGTCACAGGTCCTTGACGCGTGTACTAATTTTCAAATTAATTGGACCTCTTTGAGTTAATGGAAATGACTTTCAAAGACTCCTTTACATACAGATAAAATATACAAACATAGGCACCACGCTAATTGAAGCGTTTTGAAATTATCACCCTCATATAACATTAATGTAATAATAATTAATAATTAGCTCACCGAAATTCATTAATGTCAATTAAATTTAATCTTATTTAAATATACAGCCATATTAGCAGTTTTGACGGACATTGAATATTATAATAATGACCTATAAATAGATTTTGAGCCTATCATATCATAGGCAGTTTACGCAATAAACAAACTATAGTATAATTGTAAATAGACATGGTTTAAAAAAACCGACTTCTAATAGAAAAAAAAAGATATTCCAAAACAAATCACCTAATATACCTACACTAAAAACAATAATTATCGAAATCGGTTGGCGTGATATCGAGTTATTGAGTTATTCATCTATTTGTCGCGCACGTACTTAATGCAAATTTAAGACTTATACGGTTTTCTCATGGATACCATTATCAGAACTGGACCAAATTGAAATGGGACCACACGGGAAGCATCAGCTTTCTAATGAAAAAAGAATCATCAAAATCGATTCACCCAGACAAAAGTTATGAGGTAACAAACATAAAAATAAAAACATACAGTCGAATTGAGAACCTCCGCCTTTTTTGAAGTCGGTTAAAAAAGACATTATTAAATAATTTTTTAATTTTTTTTTAATGCTTAGATGGATCGACGAGCTCACAGCCCACCTGGTGTTAAGTGGTTACTGGAGCCCATAGACATCTACAACGTAAATGCGCCACCCACCTCGAGATATAAGTTCTAAGGTCTCAGTATAGTTACAACGGCTGCCCCAGCCTTCGAATCGAAACGCATTACTGCTTCACGGCAGAAATAGGCGAGGTGGTGGTACCTACCCGTGCGGACTCACAAGAGGTCCTACCACCAGTGATTACGCAAATTACAATTTTGCGGGTTTGGTTTTTATTACATGAATAAACCTTCAGTAGTTTTTTAATACGGTTTTCTACTTCAGCTTGTGTATTTTTTTATCTAAATTCGTAAAGTACAGACATATTATTGTTTCATTTCAAACACATAAAAATATTGGAGTATGAAACTCTAGTTACTAATCAATCTTAACAATCTATATTGTACTAGCTTTTGCCCGCGACTCCGTCCGCGTGGAATAATTACTTTGGCATGACGCTAAATTTTACCCCCCACTCCATTTACGTAGAAAGTGAAAATATTATTGAATTATAGAATGTTATGTTAAGGAGCTATTTAAACCCCTATTTTGAAACATTCTTTATTGGTTATCCACTTGTATTGGCCTTATCGTGATGTTAGCCTATAGCCTTCCTCAATAAATGGGCTATCTAACACTGAAATAATTTTTCAAATCGGACCAGTAGCTCCTGAGATTAGCGCGTTCAAACAAACAAACTCTTCAGCTTTATAATATTAGTATAGATTATTCTTCATAGTTCAATTCAGAAGATTTTTAAGCTCAAGAACACGTGATAGATCACGATTTGAAGTTCTAGATTATAACCAAACAGTTGAAGTTCGCTTAATCGGAAACCAAAATATTAAGTCGAGTTTGGTATCCAAACGAAAGCGTAGTAAAAGCTCACTTAGACGAGACTTAGGACAGTGGCTCATTAAAAAAAAAAATTCCTTTTTTGCACATTTACGCTTATTTTCCAAAATCTTCTATAATACGTATCATCACTACATAGTATAAAACAAAGTCGCTTTCTCTGTCCCTATATCTGTCTGTCCCTATGTATGCTTAAATCTTTAAAACTACGCAACGGATTTTGATGCGGTTTTTTTTAATAGATAGAGTGATTGAAGAGGAAGGTTCATATGTATAATAACATCCAATAAATAGTGGAGAAATCAATAATAAATTACAGTTTCCGAAGCGAAGCGAGGGCGGGTCGCTAGTAATAATTAAAAAATAATTGACACTTTTTTACGCCTTGCTCATTTAACTGCCTTCGCCATCTTCCTTTTCTCTGTCATGTCTGTCTCTCATTCTCTTTTCCCTTTCTTACCGTTTTCTTTCACTCACATCTTAATGCTCCATTCAACATACTTCTCATATTATATTCCGATCTTACCAAAGTCTTCCGTCTTAAAAACTTTTCAAACTGCTCTTTAGTTTAATGTATGTATTCAAAATTGCAGTATCATATCTATTTCTATGTATCATCCCTACATAATTGCTCTACAATTATATGAACTGAACAAACTAATATTTATAATATAATTAAAATAAATTTTACGGTTTATGTAATCTCGCATTTTATTTTTTATCGTCAATAATATATTAAAAAAATATTTACTAACAATCACGCCACGCTAACTGGTCCCGGGCTAAGTTCGTAAAGAACTTGTGTTACAGGTACCAGATAACGGAAATAAATGTAAGATTTTTATTATACACATACATACCTTTATATATTTAATATACATCCATAACCCTGCTAAAGACATTTTATATTTATCATACAAATATCTTCCCTTGGCGGGATTCGAACCCGCGACCCTCTTGCGTAGTGACCATGTCACTTACCACTACACTAGACGGCTGACTTCAATAATAATATATTATTACAACCGTAACAATAAGATAAGACAGAATAAACCGTAAAATTTGTTTTACTTATAGCAAAGGCTCACTGAAACTGACTAATAGATATAAACCAATAGTAACTATACTCCTATTCTTGTCGATTCGCTTCCCAGCGCCTCACTGCCTATTTCAAAATGAATCTATCGGTCGTAGCCCAAAATGATGAGCATCACCATCCAAAGCAACTCCGCTAAAAAACTTCAACTGCATATCCGATTCTCACAGCTAGCGGCTTAGCTACAAATGGGCTGTGAACTCATCTGATCATTAAAATATTGTTACGCGTTGAGGTTCGGAATAAATAAAAATTCCACCAAAGCATAAATTAAAACTATATTCAACACTTAGAACACACACAGAACACTTTAAAATTCTAAATTCGCTTCTTCCGCTTCGCTTCAGGTGATCCGTTGGCTGTTTCGCTTCGAGTAGTTCCAATTACTGACTGACTGCGTGCCATCTCTGTAACGCTTTTATAGCCGATACCTCATCCCTAGAATTATCGAGAGTTTTCCACACAAGTCGAGTATTGTGTTTCCGCTATCTGACAATAGATGGCGTTGTACTTCTCGAGCGTTCTAAGCGCTACTAGATCCTTCGATATTCGTTCGACTATTCGGCGATAGATGGCGTTACTATTACCGGCGTAACAACAGTATTTCAATGATTAATCGCTGTTAAGCTAATGATTTTTTATTTAAATATTATGATATTGGGTACTCCAGAATAAATAAACAATAAAAGACTTAATTGCGTTTTCTGTTATGTGTATAATGAGAAAACAATATTTAAAGCCTTTAATTTAATAAAATTATTATATTTAATAAACTGAACTTTCTTTTTACTGTATGTCAACTTTAGTGTATGACATACAAGAAAAATCCTTTTTATAAAACTAAAGAGTTTTAGACTATGAAGGTTTTTCTTTACATCTATATATTAATACGTGAAGCAAAAACTTTGTATCCCTTCTTACGAAAATTGCGCGGACGGAGGAGTATGAAATTTCCCACACTTATAGAGAATATAGAGAAGGAGTGCACAATGCTAATTTTTTTTTAAAATAATGCATAAAAGATACATTAAATCAATAAAGAAAACATTACACACACTGCATACCATGTATTTGACGCACACACGCATGCATACTATTTATTGTCAAACTTTTGTTCTTGACGTCTGTTGTCAAATTGAGAATAGAATATGGTTTGTCTTTGTTAATATTTTTTATAGTGTAGTCTTGGCGAAATTTGTGATTATAGAAGTATAAAATAGAATCATAATAGTGTACAAACTTACAATTCCAATTAATTATAGTCGAGTTTCGACTACTGCGGGACCTCTAGTATATTTTAAATGATTGTCTATTAAAGCTATTATATCTT